TAATTGAATAGACATTTTGTTAAGATTGCGTCGACAATTGGGTCATGACAACACGTAATATTATGATTAGTATCGCACATTAATCCATACACTTCTGATAGTCCTAACATTCTGCCGTTTCTATTTAATTTTCCTAAATACTATGAATATAAAACTTCTTTAGTTTCTAAATTTGTTAGTTCTAAATTAAATTCATCATTATTCCTAATACTATATGCTGATATATTTAAAAATGCTAAAATACCCTTTAATCTTAACCGTTTAATTAATGTTATATCCGTCGTTCCATTACAGAAAACTATTATTGGATCCCTATTGTCTATGTGCAAATATCTTTGCAAGTAAACCGTTGACAAGGTTGATTCCCCCTGGTGGCTTACACTTTTGTATAATTGACCCAACAGTGGTGCAATCACGCTTGCCTTTTTCCCTCGGAATACCCGTTTGATTATTTGCACAATATCCTTAAGATCGCATCGCCGGAATCTCTTTAACTTATTTTCGTAAGTATAAGAGGACCTCCTTCCAATTTCTTAGGCTGGTATTTTTTAAAAACTATTCGAAATCGCCCCGGATACCAATAATGTTTCTTCTTTACTGGCCGTAAGGAATTCGAAATCCAATATGAAAAAACGGATCTGTGAGCTAAAATAAAATTTATTACTTAAGGGTCAGTAACACTATAATTTAATAATATTATTATATAATATGTATGTTTTTATTTCTTGGAACTATTCTTCGTTTACCGGTTCGATCGCCAAGCCTCTTGTTATAAATCGTTCTAGCAATAAACCTAATTCTACACAAATGGGTCTGTTGTGGTTCGGTCTTTCAACTACCGCGCGTATAAAATCACTCACATATACCATAACTCGTTCTAAGACAGGTGGTCGAAAGGGGTGTGTCATATTTTCACTTGCCCTTCTTATGTGCCTTCTTAAACAGTGTAAGGTCACTGTTTCCCCACGAATAATTTGAGTGTGGTGTGCTGTTAATAATTCTGTTCTAAATTCTCGAAAGAATTCCAGTGTTTGCAGTGTCAGTTGAACTGAGCGTGGTAGAGGTGGTATGTTTATACTCATTTCTTATATTTTTTTATTTCTACGTGTATGTTTTAAATATTTGTTTCTTCTTCTTAATTTCTGAAATAGTTAAAAGTTATTTGTTATATAATTGTTACATTTGTGATTATTTATAGAATATTATTTTACGTATTTTTTCTGTTATGCACTTAATAATGTTTTATTTTATTATTTAATATTTATTATTTTTATTAATATGTTACGTATTTATTTTCGTTTTGTATGTTTTATATTATTTTTATTCTATATGCTTATTTATTATTAATTAAATTTAAAGTAAATAATTCGTTATGACTAGCGACTACTCTTAATATATTTTATTCTTATCTTGGAGATGGTGGTGCGGTGAATAATGTCTCTCTTATGTAATCATTTGTGCCTGGTGTTCTATATCTAACTATTCTTCCTGGCATATCTCTTATCTGTCCATTACTAATATATTTGCATTTAATTAATATATATATTGCTATTATAAGTATGAGAGACAATGATGCTAGTAATACTTACATAATATAATAAATTAGTAATAACTGTGTACAAATTGATGTTTTTGATTTTGTTCTCTTGAAAGTTCTTGGTTAATATAATTTGTTGTACCTCGTCTAAAGATTTGGATGCGTCGTGTAAATCTGTGAATTGCATAGCTGGTCCTTTTTCCCACTTTTCATCTGTTTCAAATTTGTGTATATGTTCGGGTATTTTCTCCAAAATATTATTTATGTTAGTTACAGGTGTGAAGACTTTAAATTTTTTATTTTGAATTTCTTCCGTGGCAGTTAATACTGCGTCATGTGCAAATACTTGGCAACTGATGTCTTTTATAGTTATTTCTCCTGCTTCATTTGTTTCTGTTATGAATGGATCTATTAGGTTGGTGCAACTTATTGTTAGTGTCTCTTTTCCTGCATGAATCCATGTATTCTTATTTTGCAATTTTTGGTATATGCTTCTCTTTAAATTAATTTTCTTTACCGTACATAACTCTGGATTAGAATATGTGTCAGATTTTATGAAGTTTTGCACTTCGCATGGTTGGCGTTCGTTGTTGTCCTGTATAGGTTGTGATGTTTTACATATTCTGTATATTGAAGTTTCCTTACATTCGTTTAGTTGTTGATCTGTGTATGTAGTAAACCTTTTATATCCTTTGGTTACAGCAATATTATTGTAAGTAATGTCCATCATGTACCACCCACTAGAATTATCTTGCTTATGACGCATTGGTACTGATGTTAACCTATATAATGTAAGTTCAGTGTCAACAATTAATGGTATTACTATATCAAATACTAATTTGTTGTCTGTATAGTAGATTCTTATTTTTGTAATTTTTTGAAATTCATTTAGTTCCCATCTCCTTGTTCCCATCGGAATACTATATATTTTCTTATAGTTTGTTCTATTGTTTTTAATGTTGATGCTAGTTCTTGCGGTGTCATAAAACATGGATGTATCATTCCTTCTCTAGCGGCAGTTACTGTTTGCCCTAATGTTTCTGTTTCGTAAGAATATTGATTTGTAATTATTGTATATAAATTATGTATTTCATTTTTCATTAATAAATCTAATATATCGTTTGTTTTATTCTGTATTTTTGACATTTTTTCATATAGTTTTTGCTCCCTTTCCGTAATATTATTGTATAGTTGTTCGGTTTGATTTCATGTATTACCAATATTTCTTATTGTTGATTTTACTACAGTCGTTTGGGTTTCCATTATATGCAATATGTTAGTTCCTGAGTCTTCTGTTTTTTTATAGCTTCTTGTGTTTTCTTAGTGCATTTATCATCACAGACGCCAAATAATGTATGCATAGTGTTACCTATTATGTTTATTAATCCTCTTTTCTTTCTTCGGTTATCTTCCTGTATAGTACTTCCTAGTGACATATACATACGTTCTTTCTGTTTAGTTATTTCATTATATAAATTGGTAATTACTATTTGATATTTTCCACATAGATCTTGGTGTTTCTGGTCAGTACATATATTTGTTATATTCTTTATTTTTTCCCCCAATAATTCATATTTCATGTTATATTCTTTTAATGAGAAAGACGTTACAAGACTGTATTGAGCCCCTATTAATCTAACTGGTCCCAAATTCTCATATTGTATTCCCCTGCCACTTTCATAAGGCTTATATGAAAAGTACTCTGATGTATTTATTTCGTCAAATTCGACAGTAGTGACTAGAAAACACGTCACCATCACCAATCTAAAAGTATAAATTATAATTATATTAAAACTAAACTATTTGTATATATTTTTCCTAGAAGCACCTATCATAATCTAATATAAGTTATTATTATTTATTATATTTATATATATTTTTTAATTAAATGATCTCTAGATATTTTATGCGATATTTGCATATTTTTTTTTTTTTAGATCGAATATATAATCGTCGTAATTGTAACGTGGTTCAGGTTTGGCCTTCGAGTTAATCGGTACCTCCAATGTACGTCCATAGACTAATGCGTATGGTTGAAAATTAGTAGAAGTATGTACTGTTGAATTATATACGAAGAATGCAAAGGGTAATAACTGATCCCAATTATTTAAATTCTTATCTACATAATGCCGTAAGTACTCGGCTAAAGTCCTATAAGCGCGTTCTACGGGGTTACCATGCGGTCTGAATGGACTTGTGTTAACCTTTTCTATTTTTAATATTTTACAAACATTTGCAAACGTTTTCGAGAGGAAATTAGTTCCTTGATCCGTGAGTATTGTTTCTGGTATGCCATGTACACAAACGAAATGTGTAACAAAGGCTTCAGCAAAAGTATTTGCCTTCTGGTCAGGAAGTGGAATTCCTAAAGTGTAACGCGTCAAATCGTCCTCCATCGTTAAAATGTATACATTATTGGACAGTGTAATCGGCAAGGGCAATACTATATCCATAAATATTTTTTCGAATGGTTTAGACGAAGTGGATGTAATAGCCATTGGTTGTTTTATGTGCCGATTTGATACCTTATTAACCTGGCATGACGCACAATTCCTTATATATTTTTTAACGTCTTCTTTCATGCCCTTCCATAAGAATTGTTTTTTAATGCGCTTAATGGTTTTATTCACACCTAAATGTTCGCCTAGTTTTGAATCGTAAAATTGTAATAAAATGATTGCTTTTTCTTCTTTACTATATTCTATATTTGCACATATAATTATTTCTATATCTGTTTTGAGAAATATGTATCCTAAAATTGACCTTACTTTTTCGCATTCTAAATCATCGTGTTCACCTAGCTTGTTCATGGCTAATTTATTCATATTGTTTTCCTTACAAAATAGTTTTAGTTTGACCAAGGATATATACATGTTTTTGTAAGTGGCCTTCTGTCGGTTTTTATTTTTCGTTCCCAAGAATATTATAAACCTGTTTTCCTGTTTGAAATAGTGTGTGTCCTATTACTTTACTAGTAGGCAATCTTTGGAAAGTACTCGGCGCTCCTTTTAATCCGAAAGGCATCTTAAGAAATTCATAATGTCCTTTATCTGTTTAAAATGATGTCTTAGCTCTATCCTCTGCATGTACCGACACTTGGTGGTATCCGCTCGCTAAATCCAAGGTCGTATAGTATTTAGAATTGCCTAGTTGATCTAAAATATCATTTATATTATTAATCGGAAACAAATCTAAGATTGTAATGTTATTTAATTTCCTGAAATCCACACAGATACGAAATTTTTATTTCCCTGAATAATCCACCTTCTTTGGTATTACTATTAATGGGGCGTTCCAAGGTGAAGTCCTTTTTGTAATGATTCCATCTTTTTCCATTTGATCTACCTGCGTTAATATCTCTTTTTTGTGATTTTGTGTTAACCTATATGGTTTAATATAAATTGGTTGAATATCGGGTGCTGTTCTAATTCGATTCTGTATTGCTGATGTTCCATCTAATCTATCACCTTCTAATAAAAACATCGGAAAATTCAATAAATATATTTTTCAATGACTGGTATTCCTCTTTGTTGAGATGCTGCAGTCTTAACGACTTCTCCAATAATTGTACCCGATTTTCACTATCTGGACCTTCTGTAAATTTAGTACACACTTGTATTTTTGTCTCTTCAAATTTCTCGTACAATAAACTACCCAAATCTACTGGCTGTAACTCAATAGAATTCTCGGTTTGATTGACAATTTTCGTTAACACTTGCCGATTCCTTACTGTAGTTACTACATTACCACATTGTACTCGATTTTGCAATACTTGTGAATAAATAATCACTGTATCTTTTTCCTTTATTTGACTGTCTGTAATTTTTACTGAAATTATCATTTCCGATCTTGGTGGTACTACTGCAATGTTCAATCTACATGCGGACTGTCTTGATTTACTACTGTAATATTGTCTTCAGTAAGTGTCGACGTTATTTCATTTTTTGCATAATCAATTGCTATCGTGTTGTCTACTAAAAATTCTTTGCCTAAAATTCCATCATGAGGTATTGGAAAATTATTACTAACTACTTGAAACCTTACTTGTCTTTTTTCTTCCTCAAAATTTACTGTTATATTTACCGACCCAATTGTGTTCACAAAATACTCATTAATCCCTTTTAATCGATATAAAATTCTTTCGTTAACTTTGACGTCGTCTTTTAATGATAATAACTTTATTATATTTACTTCACTACCTGTGTCAAGTAAAAATTTTGATTTCCGATTAATAAATTCTGTAGCTTGACAAATACGGTTATAGTATATATAACCGGGTAAACTAGTATATATATAATACCCGTAACCTACGGGTAGTATATATATATTCAATTCTTCCCATGTATCTATCTTTTTAAATCGAACAACCTGAGCTGCTTTTGCTGTCAAATTTGCGATTATTGCTCCTAAAATCTTGGGCTTTATGTCTTCACTAATACACAAAAAAGCAAATTCTGACGACTTTATAAAATTATGTAAGCCTCCAGAGTCTTGCTTGTCAAACTTTGGTAAAATTCGAAATGCAGCCTCTAAAGAAGTAATTACACTCATATCTAATAATTTTGTATATGTTTAATCCAAATTTGGCACAAAACTGTACGACTGAGTACTACTATCAAAAGAAATATCTTCCTTAACGATGTTTGAACTTAATTCTGCTGGTACTCCTAACCGTCTACGTTGTATTGGGAAATGTAATGTATTTCTACCAGTATCAGGATTTTGAAGTCCTAACAAAGTACTCTGATTTTGTACTGTATTTTCTACTTGGATAATATCGCTATGCCTACTATATGTCGCTTGCCTACTATCATCAGAATCAAATGTCCTATCTGGAATAAATGTTTCGTCTTTACTATCGTTCTGTGTTGAGTTATTAATACTAGCACTTTCGTCACTCATCAATTAAATATAAATAGAAAAATATGGATAGAAACTTATAGATATGCTTAAAATATATATAAAAACCAACTTACAATACCAATAAATTTAACATTATTGAAGTTGTTCCTCTACTGTTCGTCTACTGTCTTTGACACCGTTGAATGCTGAATTTGTTTGGAATGCTTCGAATTTGACTGGAATGCTATGTAGTTGTGAATAGAATGCTCTGTAATTGACTGAAATGCTCTATAGTTGAATGGAATGCTCTGTAATTGACTGGAATGCTCTATAGTTGACTGGAATACTCTGTAGTTGAGTGGAATGATCCGTAGTTGAATGGAAGTATGTACCTTGAATTTTTCAAAAACAATTTAACTCACCCTGATTGAAAGATGCGTCTCGTTCGAATTAATGGTTCTTTTGATCCACTGCCACCAATGTTACAAGTCGGTTGACCGTAGCCTCGTACTTGTAGAGTTTGAATATAGATTTATTAAATAAAGTAACAAACACACGTCTTTTCAGTTATAAAGTTTATTGAGTTGAACATATACAGAAAATGGCACTGTCCATTCTCCACTCCTTCTCTTACAATCTTAATGTTCCTTATATCTAAACTTATGTAGGACAATCCCTCCTATATAAAAAGTGCTTACTCGCAACTTCGGGATTGTACCTGTTTACACTAATTTACAATAATCATTTCATTTCGTAATTCTAAATGTTTTATAAATTACTACATTTATAATTTGTTTACTAACTGCTACATCCTTACTTACTTCCTATGTTTAATCATACCAATTCATAATATTATATACGAGCATAAGACTCACTCTCTTCACGGATGTAACTTGACCTCGGTCGTGCATATATATAGGGCCTTTGATGTATGTAATATTCACTTGCACAGGCGTCGTCGTACAGAGCGTATACGATGTGTGTGTACTGTCACAGTTTAATTGTCCAGTTGTACGTTGTTATATATTATACTTATACATAATCATATTGTCGTGTTATTACTTATTATATTAATGCTAACATCATTAGTCCGTCAAGCTTCACTTTCAACAGGTTATGTAATAACCAAGACATACAGTCTAGTGGATTCGTGATCGAAGTTTTTATTTTTTATTAACGCAGAAAACTACAACCAGTCGGAGATATCCTGGATTTCGGAAAACGGTGGAACAGTGTACATAGGTAAAGTTTTGTTATAAATTGTTATACAGGAAAGTATACGGGAAACCATCGGTCATGGAAGACACGGTGAAGATAACAAAATTATGTGCGGAAAACTGGTCGTTATGGAAATTCCAGATGAAGGTCATTCTAAATGCCTTGGAAATAGGTGATATAGTTTCAGGTGAATGGACGAAACCAGGTATACCTATAAAGAAGTTGGCAACAGATTCCGACGAGGAAGCCAAAGCACGTTGGCAAAGGCATAAAAGCGCTTGGATAAAAGCTGACGGTAAATGTCGAAAAATAATAGTTACCTCAGTGGACCATGGTCCATTACAATATTTGCTTAACTGTGAGACTGCATTGGAAATGTGGGAGAAACTGCTGAGTATTTACGAGAAGAAGTCTGTGGCAAGTTTACATGTGCTTCAACAACAATACTTCAGTTATTCAAAGGAGTCGACAGATGACATGTCGACGCATATTTCTAAATTGGTCAATTTAGGAAGGAAACTGAGAGTAGCGGGTGAACCAGTTACGGATCACATGGTTATGACAAAAATACTAATGACATTACCAAAAGAATATAATCAATTATACAGTGCTTGGGATTCAGTCCCAACGGGAAGTAAAAATATAAATAATTTGACTAGTCGATTGTTGATTGAAGAATCACGGGTTATCCAGATCAAAAGTGAAGTTGGTGAACAAGAGAAATCGAGTGCATTTCTGGCCAAATTTCAAAACAGATCTGATGGAAGAAACGGCAGTCGTAATTATGGAAAAGGTAAAAATCAATTTACTAATAAAAGTAATATTTAATGTTATTACTGTGGTAAATTAGGTCATTATAAAAGAGACTGTAGACATTTTCTTACTAGCGAAACCACAGCCGGTCCAGCTGTGCGTCGAGCGGCCAAGGACACTCGGAATAGTACGCGTCCCCGGGTTGCGGATGGGGGTCGCCCCGCAAAGGTCCGTCGCCGGCATCGGAGGATGAAGCCGGTCGGTTCGTCCCCGGTGGACAAGGGTGTCGGTAGGGGTAGGGCGGCGATAGGCCTATTGAAGCCCGTACTGATAAAGGTCCGTCCCCGGCTCCGGAGGATGAAACCGGTCAGTCCGTCCCCGGCTCCGGAGGATGAAACCGGTCAGTCCGTCCCCGGTGGACAAGGGTGTCGGTCGCTGTGCGGGTTGATTAAGCTGAATTCCGCTCCGTGGACAGCTATGATTAAATGACCCGTGGGTCAAAGGGGATGCTCCTTCTTTGACACACGGTCGTCCGCGGGGCCACCGGGAGTTGTTCCCTGCACTAGCCGGGAGCACTGGCGTTGGAGCTCGCTCCATCAGGGAGTACAGCGTCCCATCTGTTAGTCAGATACCCCACATGTCTCCGGGGCCTGCGGTGAGTGTTAGGGTCTGCTTCATGGCGGCTTATCTCCCGTAGATAAAAAATTATAAAAATATTTAGAATGATCGATACGTCAATTAATAATACAGTTAAAACAAAGGTAGTATACAAAAATATTATACAAAATATAGGTACCTATAACTATTATTATCATTAATATTACCACCTATATTTCGTATAAAATGTTTGTATACCTACTATATTATACCTACTAAATATTTGTATATGTTATGTTTTTACTGTGAGTAGGTGACTATAATACATTCAAAATTCAATAAACTATTGTTTGATAATTATTTTATTATGATTATAGTTATTATTATTATTATTGAAATTACCATTTACCACCTATATTTTAAATTTTTTATAATATTTTTATATACCTACTATGTTTTGAACTGTATTCTTTGACGTATCGATCACTCGAAATATTTTTATACTTTATATATTTGTGTACACTACCTATACCTCACACAACAATCATAACTAATATTTGAAGTTTTGAAAACGTAATATTTTTTCAGGGATTTAATTTTTACATAATTATACCAACATAAAATGTGTATTAATCTAGTAATATAAAATGTTGCTTCTAATTTTTCAAAAATTATTTATAGTTATTTATTTATATCATTTTTATTACCTATATTGGCTATATTTTGTATAATATTTTTGTATACTATATGTTTAACTGTATTCTTTGACGTATCGATCACTCGAAATATTTTTATACTTTATATATTTGTGTACACTACCTACACCTCACACAACAATCATAACTAATATTTGAAGTTTTGAAAACGTAATATTTTTTCAGGGATTTAATTTTTACATAATTATACCAACATAAAATGTGTATTAATCTAGTAATATAAAATGTTGCTTCTAATTTTTCAAAAATTATTTATAGTTATTTATTTATATCATTTTTATTACCTATATTGGCTATATTTTGTATAATATTTTTGTATACTATATGTTTAACTGTATTCTTTGACGTATCGATCACTCGAAATATTTTTATACTTTATATATTTGTGTACACTACCTACACCTCACACAACAATCATAACTAATATTTGAAGTTTTGAAAACGTAATATTTTTTCAGGGATTTAATTTTTACATAATTATACCAACATAAAATGTGTATTAATCTAGTAATATAAAATGTTGCTTCTAATTTTTCAAAAATTATTTATAGTTATTTATTTATATCATTTTTATTACCTATATTGGCTATATTTTGTATAATATTTTTGTATACTATATGTTTAACTGTATTCTTTGACGTATCGATAATTCAAAATATTTTTATATTCTACACGGTATTTGTAACGTTGTTAAGTTAGTTATTTAATTTGAATTACACATAATATATTATCGTAATTTAAAACAAAATATTATTTATAATATATAATTTTTTTTTAACAATATAATATAATATACGTAATTGTAATTAAATATTAATTATAGATACTAATTAACGTTTAAAAAATATTTGTTCAACCATTTGCATGAGGTTGTGAGTAATAACTAATATTGTAGTCTGGGGATTTTTTTTCCTAGGGATTCGTTACTTCACAATTCATTATAATTTAAACTTGATAGTAATACAAGAATCACTAACTAGCGATAATAATTTCACAGCGTTAGCATATTATAAACCTGGGAGAAAATATGTATCTGTTTTTTATAATTTAAATCACTGGACGCCGGGGGTCCTTTCAAACGAAATTAATACCGATGTTATAAACTCCGTTGTTATCTACGATTTACCATCACTAAAATCACGACACAGCATTACACAATCTCGTTACGAATGTAATGACATATTGGGAGGCGAGAATATTTATAATATATCTAATAATTCTGATATTATGCATAATAATAACCGCCCTATAGTGAATTCAAAGAAACTTGAAAAAATATCTCCAGACATAACGTGTGAACATTTTGATATTAACCCAGACTTAACAACTCAGCAAAAAGGCGAATTAATACAATTATTAAATAAATATAAAAATATTTTTTCACAATCTAAATGGGATCAAGGTGAAGTAGATACGGAGCCTATTGAAATAAAATTAACGGACAATACACTAATAAATTTGAGAAATTTTAAATTAAGTCTTTCAGAAATTAAAGAAATCGAAAAACAAACTAAGGAATTATTAGAAGCCGGTATAATTGAACATTCATTGAGTCCATATTCATCACCTGTATTTCTCGTACCGAAAGGACAGCCACAAGGCACAAAAAATAAAACTGCCTCAGAATATAGGATGGTCTTAGATTATAGGCGCGTAAATGAAAAAACTCATAAAGAAGCATTTCCTTTACCCATCATACAAAATATTTATGACACACTGGCAGGAAACAAATATTTTTCTTGTTTGGACGCAATGTCAGGTTTTCACCAATTAAAA